AGTTACGTATACGCCGTGTGCGCCTCACTGAACTCATGCAAAAGCGCACAAAGGCAGCTAATGTTTTTGAATTACCACACAAATGCACGCTGCTACGCATCTGTGTATAGTTAACTGTATGTGTTACATAATTACACTACTATATAGGTATATAAGCGCGCATATATATTAGGGTGGAGCGAAAAAAAATTTTTTTTTGCTTAGCCTGATGGTCAAATTTTTAGATTATAAAAAAAGAAAATTGTTTTTAACATCTAGAGGCGGCTCGTTTTTAAAGTAAAGTTTCGAGTTAAAATTTTTATTTAAAAAAAAACTTTTTTTTCGCGCCACCCTAATATATGTTAGTGCGTCTGCTGGCGCATAACTACATTTGCTTTTTATTAAATATGCACTGCACGTGCGCTCGCTTGTTGCTGCATATTTTTTGCTTGCTGCTGTAATTGCTAATGCTATTGTTGGCATTAATTATACAGAAATTTCGTTATTAAGATTTTGTAGAGCATTGTACTTGCCGCATTTGCTGGCAGTTTGTGTGTAGCCAATGGGCGGGCAGTCTTGTGCGCTGTTTTAAGTGTGGTCGACATTTTAATACCTTTAATGTATTATTTTAGGCTTACAGCTGTAATACTATAATGACTTTTAAATTTGTTTAGTGCTTTTCTTTAAGCAAAATTTGTAGTAATTAAGAGTTTTATATCCTCAATTAATTATGAAAGAATAAGAAGAATACTTGTTAAGAATCAGCTCTGCTCTCTTTTCGAAAAAAGCCAGTTGTTTGTTAGATATGCAACTTTTCATGTTTGGCGATTTTATGCAACATATTAGGGCTTGTGGAAGATATTGAGCGATTTTATGCGTTTTGAGCACCAAGGTACATTATGCTCAGCAAAACATTCTCACCAAATTTTACTGCAATATATCTCATGCTGACTCTAATATATGGTATATCATTACGAAAGAGATGGAAATAAAAGTATTGGATACTGAAGGCACTGCGAAATTCATTGATCAATTTAGCAGATATTTCGTTGGAGTATAATAATATTTGGATCTTTCGCATATATTTTTTGTCGGAATATTTTAGTTTAGATAAACACTGTTGTGAACATTGTGTTAAATAAATTTAACTATATTTTCTTATTTAAACAATCTAAAAAAATGTATTTAATGGGTTGTAATTTCCCCAATTATTTTTGTAAGCTCTTTTTTGCGCTAATAATTCAATTTAACATTGATTTGCCTATTCACACCCCAATGACTCTACGATAGCGTGTGCAGTAATTGTTTTTGTTTGTAAGTCTATAACGAAGTGTCGGCTCATTAAAGCTGATTTGCATATTAAACAGTTATTGTCATATACAAATAAGTGTCAGCATATTTATATAAAAGCTGATCGGAATTTTTACAATAATTTACTGTAATCGAACTTGGCTATTAATATGAAGGTGAAGATATGAGAATGTTTACAAAAAATAAGGTATAAAGGGCGTTAATTGCGTATTACTGACAACCATAAACCTATATATAGGTACAGGTATTGCTATAGTTCCATTGCCATCGACTCTACGTAACCGAAACAGACTATATTTTATATATAATATAAGGAGACTGTTAAATATATCACACTTTCTCTTACATACATATATTTAGAATACGACTCATATACCATAAGTAGGGTTTTTAGTAATAATTCGACTCTAGCGACACCTAGCGGTATTTTCTTAAGTGTATTATGCTTTCCATTGTCTAAAATATTCATATTCTAAACTCAAATCGATCATTAAATATGATTTTTGGTAATAATTCAAAACTAGCGCCGCCTAGCGGTGTTTTCTGTAGTATATATTTAGAAAATTACTTAAATCAGTACATAAGTACGGTTTTTGATAATACTTCGATACCAGCGCCACTTAGCGAGCTTGTCCTAAGTGTAGTTTTCTTTCCCTTTCCAATATATATCTCAAATATGTCTGTGGTATGGCCAGAAATCCGGTTTCTCGGCAACGCCACATAGTGAAATTTTATTTTGCTTCCTACCTTGTTCAGAGTGCAAGCAATAAGTAGTGAAAATTAAATTTGTAATTTGATCCACTTAAACTTTTGAGTACACTTCGAATACTTTATGTACCTGAAGTTGCATTTGAATTCTTTATTTCTCACAGAAAATATCAAAATATATTATTTAATTTCACATTAATTAATCCAGCTTTAATTACAGTAATTTGCACTAATGTCCCATATTTGTGGTTTTTAAGTCACACGCTTTACATTATAGCGAGCAAAAATCTCAATATCTCGACTTTCACAATCTGCGTTGTTTTTTTTAAGATTTTGCCCACTCGAAGTGCTAACAACAAGATAGGCGAACGCTTTGCGGTTTCACAATTTAATTTATCATTGACACAACTTTTATAAACAGCGTCTCCAACTGTGCGCCCCCCACACAGTTTTCTGACATCATTGCGGTTTTGCTCGGACGCAGGCGATTTTTATGCTGCAGTTAATTGTGGTTTTGTCCTTCTGACTTTGCGAATTGTATTCTGCATTTCCAAACATCGTGACAGTGTATGACAGCGTGTTTGTGCATATGTATGTGTGTGTAGGTGTGTGTGCACTTGAGCGATGTTTAATTGAATTTTAATTTAATCTCATGCTATTAGACTTTAATTGTTCTTTAGATGGGAAAACAGGTGTGATTTTATTTTTGTTGGTGAAAATGTGAAAATACTGATGCGAAAAAATTTTTTTTTTAGTGTTCTGAACTATTTGCTTGGTGTGTTTTCTGCTGTATGTGTTGAATTTACAAGTATTTATAATTAAAACTAAGTTTTTTTTAATAATATTTTTTACAAATATTTATTTAAGGTAATCAATAAACTTTTGAAAAGTTTTCTTATATTAACAATTCCAAAAAAATTATTTTTGTTAAAACAAGTCACATATATATTAATATGTATATTTTTATAAAGTTTTTTTTTATAAAGTTGTGTTTTTTTAGTTTTTCTTATTCTTTAACATTAATTTACCACAACAGCTTTTATTTTTTATTTGCATTTATTGTCATTATCATAAGTTGCTTATGTAGCTGCCACCAAACCCGTTCCGCCAATAACTAAAGTAAATAAAGTTCAAGCTTAAATAATCTCACCTTGCTCTCGTATGCTTTAAGCATTTACACGCACACACTGCGTACAAAGCAATTTAAAAGGCGAAAAAAGCGTTTAAAAATTAAGTGCGCTTTAAATAGGCCTACAAGGTGAGCAAAGAGTCAGCTGGGCCAACAAGCAAGCCAGCGAGACAGTTTACACTGTCAACAACAAGCAGCACAACAATTTACGGCATATAAAGCGAGAGCCTCCAAATGTTTTGATTTTCCATTTTTTGCCTTCGGTTCTGGCAAATAAACGATAAAAAAAGGTTTTGAAAAAAGTGCGCAAAGCCAATTAATTACGTATGCGTTGCGCATACGCCGCGTAGCACCGATACAAGCGAGCGATAATTCATGACACATTTTCGCTGTGATAGATGCGCTTGGCAAAGACTTTTAAGTGAGTACTGTACGTTTATAGAAAACTGTGTACCGCTTATCTCGATGCACAATAACAACAGCAATGCTCATTTGTATGTATGTATTTGTGTGTGTATGTGTATTTAAATGATTGAGTGCGTGTTTGCCGGCAACGTTACTCCGCCTCATGAATCTTCGTCGTCAAGTTTTTACTTTGATTTATTTATTCACATCACTCCTTTTTTTGTTTTTATTGTTCGTTGATTTTTAACTTGATTTGTTGTTGCACCTTTTTCTCTTTTTATATATTTCATTTTTTCATTTGTGTACTACTCTGCTTTAAAACACCTGGCGCACACTGCGTGGGTTGTCTGTCGTCTGTGTGTCTGTTTATATGTCTGCTTTCTACCTTTCTGCTTGCTTGGCCAGATGATTGTTTTGATAAGCTTTCACGTTACTTTTTGCTTTACGTATTTCACTTTTTTTCGGCTGTCTCAGCTGTTGCCAAACTCGCTGAATAAATGTGTGTATATTGTGTGTGTGTGTGTGTGATTGATATCCCTGACAGTTCTTGGTTTTTATAGACTGCCTGGCTGGCGTGACTTTTGTGCTGCTGGCAGACAAGGTGTCGCTGTTTATCGGTTTATTGTGAGAGAACCGTTCTTTTATGTACATTTTTTTGCTGACATAGAGCTGATTATTTGGTTGTTTTATTTTGTAAATAACCCTTTTTATTTGTAATGTCATTTTGTTATTAAAAAGAAAAAAGGGTATAAAGAAATCTTTATATTGGTTTTATCTAAAATACCGAGCGACTATATTATATACTATATACTAACTTGGCATACTACCGACGGTCTTCACATTCTTACCTCGAGAGTGCCAAGTTACGAGTATTTGCTCTACAAGAGATAAATCTGAAGCCTTCGCTTGACTTTGTTTTAGAGCTTCACTTCGCTAATGATATCTTAATGTTTGATTTAATCACTACTGTTGTAAAAGGTGTTGAGGCGCTTACTTTAAAACATATAATGTTTCTCATCCATTTTTTACTCACGAACTCGGGCTCTGGTCTCTCCCAGCTTAACCCCAACCATATATTTTGATTGTTGAGAGAAAAAACTTAATTTCTCACTAAACTATATATCGATTGCCATCCTAAATTAAATTAATTCACCCTCTCGTTTCTAAAGACGTGTCGATTTTCCTTAAAACTGCTATCCGTACTAACATATATTTGTGTTTGACTTTATAAATTTATAAATTAGAAAAATTTGTACGGGCATAATAGTTCCCAAATTTATATAATATATCTCGTTTGGGACGTACAATTTCATGCTGCTGAACGAATGAAATAAATGCTCCAATTTGCAATTCGCCTAAATGTATACTTCAGCTTAAAATATAAGTATAGTTTACACACGAGTATATTTAACAAACAAAAATGGGTGATTTGGACTAAATATTAATATCTGGCTTTCTATTTTTTCAGCGCCAGAATAAAGAATCGGTGATTTGGGTAAGTCTGTCAAAAATTTCCAATGAAATTATATTTGTTTACATTTTATTATATTTTATCCAAAAGTTTTTAAATCTTTGTGGTGGGCAAAGCCCTAACCTTATTACGTCAGTTTTAAAATTTCTAAAATGTGGCAGTTCTGTTTAGTCGGCTCTATGAGTTTTTGTAAACGCGTACTGTATATAGGATCTGACCAAAAATCGAATTTTGACAGTCCAAAGCGCCAAAAATTCAACTCGAAAAATATTTAATTTTTTTTCAAAAATTTTATTTTACAATCACATTTTTTTGGCAGTCACACTAAGGCTGCCCCTAAAATGTTCTCGAAGGGACTTAGCTAAGGCTTCTTTTAAAAGTAAAAAATATGGTTTGAGTTTACTTTACAAATGTTTATAAATATAAGCGAAGGCTTAGTAATCTTTAAAAATTTTAATACAGTCGTGTTGCTGATTCACTCATGAGATAAGCCACTTTTGAAAGAGTAAAAACGCTTTTAATTAATTTAGACTTACTTTTTCAATTTCACCGCATTTTGACTTACTTTGATGCTATTTTCCACTATTTAATCCAAGCTTAATTTAATTCGCTCTCATTATGATTCCGTTTATCTGCGAGTTAACACATTAACTACTGTCTGTTACTCTTGCTGTTGTTGTTTTATTTTTACGTTGACACTGCTCTTCGCAACCTTTGCATTATTGTTGCATTTGCAATCTTTATTTTCTCCCCGCGCCACTTGATTATAAAAGAAAGATAGCAAAGAGTAAACAAGTCAAGTAATGAGTTTCTCGGAAAAATGCGTCGAATGAATTGCATTGTGGAAATTTTGTCGCACAAGCGAGTGAGTAAATAAATAAATGAAAAGAAAGAATGTTTTTGGTAGAGGAAGCCACGAGGGCGGCAGTTGCAAGTCTGACTTTGTAAAAAGTGGAAGCATGTGTAGACACAATAACAAAGTAATTAAGAAAGAAAATTGCAATTGAGTGAAATGTGCGAGTGCGCTATGCAACGAGCAATGAATTATTAAAGAGTAATAAAGTTGACTGATTTGGAGAAAATTTATGATAACTGAGGCAAGGAAAATTTATGATCTGGAAACTAATGACTATTTTTATAATGCGAAGAGGATAGAAATTAGAAGTTCACTTTCTTCTATACAACTTTGAGGATTTGTGTTCGGCTGAATTTTTAGCCCACAGCATGAAGGACAATGTATAGTAAGAATTCCCACGATTGAGGCAAGATGAACTTTGTTAAGGACTAGTATTTCAGTAAATCTCCTATGTTCTACACTAGTCCAAGAGGATCTTGTAGTATCGCAGACGCTGGTCGTCGACCAACAGCTGTTTAGCACTAGCGAGGTCCATAGATCCAGTATTAGAACGCAAGATGACAACGGAGATCCAACATGTGCTATATCTAGTGAGCTTAGACACTCCTTCATTAACTTTGAGCCCTAAGCTTGCGAGCTCAACGCTAGTATTTGCGCTCTGCTAACGGAGTAAATGCTCACCTTCCTGAAAAAAGCTGCCTCGGATCTGTAAGTCTACTGCTACTTTAATAGCAGCCACTTCTGCCTGAGAAACACTACAGTAAGCCGGTAGCCTAAACTAGGTGTGACGGAGGGCTCCTTGCAAAAGACCTTCCTCCAACCTTCCCTCCAAGCTTCGACCTATCCATGAAAAAGCTCACTGCACCTCTTCTCCAGCGACTTCTCCACGTCCACGTATTCCTCGTCGGTATGTGAGCGAAGAAACAGCTACTAGGAATAGCCTCTCTGACGGAGTCGTCTAAGTTTTTAAGAATGCAAATGAAGAGACTTAGAGCGATCTTCGCAGAAATACCGCCAATATCCATGGGTGCTATGTGTAGAATGGCATTAAGTGCTATTGTTGGTGTAGTCTGCAGTGTACTGTAGATTCTCATGTGACCTGCTCCTTGGAAACGTTCAGGCTTCTTTGCGAGTGTAGCCTTTACAAGCACCTTCCACCTGCCGAATACACCATAGAACCTTATTAGCTTGACGACGTTTTCGTAGAGCCAAATTACCACCTTTGATGAGAGTCAATAGTAAATAACAGTTTACATACAAAAACGTGAATAAAAAGAAAGAAAAAATAAATGTAACTTAAAGAAACACTCAAAAAATATATATATTTTTAAATTTATAAACATTAAGTACTATGAAAAAATACAATTTATGAAGTAAGCGCAACAACAATTTAAGCACAACAATCAAAACAGCTTTATGTGCTCCCTCATAAAACATAATTTGTCAACTGTAAGCACTACCAAATCACAGCGTTGGTAGCAACTAACTATAAGAATAAAAACAACAACAAAGCGGTGGCGCACGTTTACTTTACAATTTCGCCTTTCATAATTTTTAAGTGGCTTACAGTTTTGTTGTTGCAAACATAGCATAGTATAAGCGTGTATATTTGAACATTTTGTCTCTTTTACCGCGCTGTTTCTTTCGTTGTGCCATAAAAATTGCGCGTACTTGACCTTGCAAACCCGAATTGGTTTATTTGTAAGCTTGAGTGTGTGTGTGATTCCCGCTCAGCTGCTGCTGGCGCGTTGCAATTGTCTTTTTTTGTTTGTTATTTGTTGTTGTCATTGCTTATTGCTGCGCGACTGGCAGCACTTTTTCACATTTGCTTTGTTTTAATAGCTTCCCCGCTCATTCGCCGCCCTGCTTCTAATGACAGCTTTTATTGTAACCATGGCTTTTATTGTAAACAATGTTAGATTTTTTGTTGTTTTTGCGTTTGTTGTTGCGATGGTTTTCGCGTTGATGCTGCTGTAGCAGCTATGGTTTTTGTTTTTGCGTACAAATGCTTTGGTTCATTCTGTTTTAATTTTTTTTCTTGCTGCGACTGCGCCCTTATTATCTGTTGCTGCTTTTTATGAATGTGTAATTGAAATGTTTTTATTTTTATTTGCGATGCAACATTGTTTAGCGCTCTTTAATATACCTTTATATTTTGTTATCTTTTTGGTTTTTCGTTACACTTTTGTACTTTGCTTAGTACTGCTTTTGCTTATGCCATTTGTTGCACCTGCATTGTTAGTTTAAACTGTCGTTTATTGGTGCGCAATGAGTGGCTCTTAAACTGCGCTTTGTTGTTGGTGAATTTGAATATTATTAGATAAGTTTTTTTTGCGATTTCATTGTGCTTCAGTTTTTGTCTTATTCGTTTTCTTCATAATTGCCCCTTCAAATGCTGCTTCGGTAATTAAATGTATTTACATATTTATATAGTCTGAGTGCTGAGGTTAGCTATTAGCGAGTTCCAAGAAGATCCAAATCTTACAAAAGTTCTATAATCACTTATGGGCATGACCAAAGCGGCTTTGCCTATTACAACATCGAGTTGTATAAAAAATCGTCAAATAATCACGATTTGTCACTTAGCGGCAAGAAAGTACTCGGTTGCCGTTTTTCCACTTTGGAAGAGAGCGTTGTTGCTCTCAAGGGTATGTATGCCTAGACTGGATTGGACATAGTACTATTGCAAGCCTAGCTTAAACCAATTGAAAAATTGTTTAAATTAACTTAGTTTTTAAACTAAGCAGAAGAAATATAAAGCCGTGAGCAGAAGAAATATAAGCTAATGAGTCACCGAATTATCGACTGTTTGGACAATACCAAACAGTTTTAGTTCATGTGAAATTGTTTATGTATCACGTTATTATGATCCAAGTTCGTATTGGGTTTCACAGTGGTGTTTGGAAACCTCTGATTCGGCGATCTTCGATAATGTCCAGCACCCACAGGCTAAAATTTATAACTACATGTTCAAGTCATGATGTCCTCAGGCTAGCATTGATTAATTTTTACAACCTTCAAAGCTGACGTTGTTGTTATAAAAAAAATATGTTTCTTCTACTCTGCCGAATGCTATTGCGTTCGATATTTACGCACTTCCCTTTACTGCTTGCTATCACTAGCTATATTTGTTCGTATAATCACTGTATATATATATATTCCCAGAATTCCTATTCCTTCGTATTTGCGCTTAATTGCTCCAATTAATAATTTATTTCATATATTTTTCAATTAAGGTCACCCACCACCTACACATTTGCTACGACGCGCCTCTTGTAAAACTACATCAGCACTGACGCTCCTTCATAATTTATTCACAACCGTTAATATTTATTTAACTAACCTTTAGGTTGTTGTTTTTGTTGTGTCTAATTGGATTGTCACTGTTGGCATCCTCAAAATTTTTTTGTTTGCTCCCTTTCACTTCTGATTGATTATGATTGAGTATTCACGTGCATGTCGGGCGCAATCATAAATAAAATATGTACGAATTCAACTCGACGTTCACTCAATGACACTTGACAGCATTTATTAGTAATAATTAATTTTAATTGATTTATTTTTTTATTTTGCTATAAATAGTGGAAGAATATACAAATTGTATGCATTTTAGTCTGCATCTAATTGAATGCGTTTGAATGCAGATTTCTGGTGAATTCAAAATAAAATTTTATAAAATGGTGGGGATTTTTGTTTTTGAAACTAATTTGATTTAAAGAGTTATAATTTATATATTGTTTCTTTTTTATCTGCTATAGAATGTTCTTGTTTGAAAATTTTTTTATTTGTAAAGATATCTTCACGAAACTTTACAAGCAATCAATCTTCAAAAGAAGTTTCTAAATTGAACGACTATTGCATATCGCTGCCATACAAACTAAATGATCAAAATCGAGTTCTTGTATAGAAAACTTTTTTATTTGATGAGGTATCTTCAAGTGGATTATTTTCCAAAGCAATGGTAGAATCGCCAAGTATATTGTTTGGATCGGACCACTATAGCCGATAGCTTTCATACAAACTGATCGATCAAAATTAAGATGAAGATCAATTTATACCTTTTTATGCTATAATAAATGCACCTGTGAAGGGTATTATAGATTCATTCTACTGGCTTTATCATATAAAAGTTTAAAATATTTTAGAAAAATGTAAAGCAAATAATAAC